TTTTCATGTTTTTGGAAGAAGTCTTATCTGCTTAGCAAGGCTGCATTTATTTGATAAAAATACAGAAAAAACAGTAATATTGTAAAATATTATTGCAATTTAACATAATGGTGTTCTATTTTAATATACTTTAAAATATAATTTATTTCTGTGATCAAAGCTGAATTTTCAGCATCATTACTCCAGTCTTCAGTGTCACATGATCTTCAGAAATCATTCTAATATTCTGATTTATTATCAATGTTGGAAACATTGCTTAATTGCTTAATATTTTTTTGGAACCTGTGATAATTTTTTTCAGGATTCTTTGATGAATAAAAAGTTTAAAAGAACAGCATTTATTTAAAATATAATTTTTTTTTTTTTTTTAATTGAGTCCCAATGTCCTCTACCAAGGACGTAGCATAACTTATGAATGAAATATCATTTTAAATGTTTTTTTTTAATTTTTTTAATGCTCTAAACAATGTAATGACATGAAAAAATAAAAAAATTTTCCTAAAAAGTTTTGCCGGGTCTCAAGAGGTTAAAACACATTAAAAACCTTACTGATCCCAAACTTTTGAACAGTAGTGTGTATATATATATATATAGAGAGAGAGAGAGAGAGAGAGAAATGCATTTTTCATTTATATTAAAAATTATTAGATTTGAACTATTTAGTTTACAGAAAAACTGTGTAAATTATTAAAAATTTGTAATAAAAAAAGCTTCAAATAAATAAATAATTAAACTAAATAAAATTGTTAAATAAATAATGAAAATATAAATAAATTGTATAAATTTGTATAAACAAATAATAAAAATAGATTTGCATAAATAATACAAATGACATTTACATAATACATCTTAACAGTACAATACTAAATAGAGAATAGAACAAAAATGTAATAATGTGACAGAAATGACATATTTTCTAAATAATAAAAATATTCATAATATTTTTTCTACAGTAAATTGGGTTTTTATACATGAAAATATATAGCTGCCTTTTAAATTTTCGCTCAAAGATAATCATATTTAGGGTCCATGGCATCTAATAGTTTGTTTGTTTTTTCTTCAGGAGTGAAAGTATAATATTAACGTGTTGCTATGTGGTGGCTAAAGTGTTCTGAAAGGTTTTAAGCATGTTGCATGGTAAATTCATTTAATAATAATAATTGTAAAATAACTAATAAAAATGTGATTTCTAGCTTTCTAGAACTCATAATAAAACATGAAGGACATTGTCTGAAACAGGTCTGTCTGTGTCTGTGTTTCCTCACCAGTGTTAAATTCAGTGGTCAGTGGATACATAGGCCTATGTATCTCATCCTTTAGCTTTACCTTCAGTTTTCCGATTTAATAAAAATAGACCTAATGTGTTTCTTTCTTTGTTTTGTTTTATTCGTGAATGCTAATGAAGCTCTTACCTTGGACTGACGTTTTCAAAGGTTCAGCTAGAAAATAAAGAGTTCGCCAGCAGCACAAATTAATGTCATTTTATTGTAAACAGTTTCTGTTTTAATATGTGACATCTCTGTAACCCCACTGAGAGAAACCGCACTAGGTATTTTGGCGATAATATCACAGAGCCTAGGCCTACTCATGATAATTTTTTCTGCATATATAAAATTACATCAATTATGTTAATACACTTTTATCTGGCCATTAAGTTTCCTGAGACAGTGTTGTTACACTAGTTACTTGATTCTTTCACGACGTGTAAGTATGAGTGTCCACTCAGAAATACTTTATTTGCGTCTTTAAACTTTGGCTTTGGAGTTCGAATAATTTCCGTGATTCAGTTCAAGTGTGCCGTATTAATGAATCGATTCAAAACTGATTTGTTTGCGTCACCACTCAAAAATGTTCGTGAACGTCTCTGCGTGGCATTTTTTCATACATTAAAATGTTTAGTAAAATATAGATAGGCCTGTGCCGGTAAATATTAATGTATATTTTTACTGCTGCATATTAATGAAAATAATTAGAATTATATTGTTCATTTAGCGCAAAACATTTTTATGTAAAATTAAATATGTGAAAATATATGACACTGGCTTTATTGTGGTCACACGAACGTTTGCTATATGGAAAATAAGAGTGAGAACATTGTTCAACAGAAATTTCACATTAATAAAACATATGGGATATGGGTTGTAATGACATGATAAATAAATATTGGCAGAAATTTTGGGGATGAACTATAGTTTTAAGTCATAAACCATCATTATACAACAGATCGGCAGCTGTTCTGTCTAAACTCTTCTTGCTAGTAAAATGATATTCTTCATGGCATCCTAAATGTGTGCCATCTGTCAGCATGGGTGTGACTCCACAACCCAACATGCCCGGGGTCACAGAAGCACAGTCACTACATGCTCACACACACAAGAAAAAAAAAACTCTCTTTATTCTTACAAGTATATTTCCAATGTTAAATAAAATATAATTATTTAAAAAAATATTCAGTAACATAATACATTTGTGACCCTGGAGCACAAAAGCAGTCTTAAGTCGCTGGGGTATATTTGTAGCAATAGCCAAAAATACATTGTATGGGTCAAAATTATTGATTTTTCTTTTATGCCAAAAATCATTAAGTAAAGATCATGTTCTATGAAGATATTTTGTAAATTTCCTACTGTAAATATATCAAAACTTCATTTTTGATTAGTAATATGCATTGCTAAGAACTTCATTTGAACAACTTTAAAGATGATTTTCTCAATATATATTTTTTTTTTTGCACCCTCAGATTCCAGATTTTCAAATAGTTGTATCTCGGCCAAATATTGTCATATCATAATAAACCATACATCAATGAAAAGCTTATTTATTCATCTTTGAGATGTTGTATAAATCTCAATTTCAAAAAATTTACCCTTATAACTGGTTTTGTGGTCCAGGGTCACTTATATCAATTATCACTTATCAATTAGAAAATAATAAAATATTTTAATAATACAAATTAAGGTCAACAACTCACTCATAAAGATGAAACCTAATTACATAAATGTTCCAGGTTTAATACAAGTTAAATTGAGGGATGGAATTATTTTTCTGTGATAATCAACATCATAACAATACAAAATGTGCTGATAAAGCTTCACTTGTGTTGAATCAGGAGCATTCGTTTAAACACTGCATATTGATCTAGTGGTCAGATGGGCAAAGAGCAGTGTCGGTATTCATATGTGGTTTATAGTTCAACAGAAGCACACTCTCAGAAAAAAAGGTACAAAAGTTGTCACTGGGGCGGTAACTTTTCAAAAGGCACACAAAAGTGTACCTTTTGAAAAGGTACCACCCCAGTGACAACTTTTGTACCTTTTTTTCTGAGAGTGCAGATGGACGTTGTGTACTCACATGGTTCAGCATTTCCATCTCCAGTTCTCCAGATATTCACCGTCTTCTCCATAGAGCCAGATGCAAACATCAACATGCAGGGAGAGAACGCACATGCAGTCACATATCTCCAGCAGAGAGACAGAGAAATATAACAGAAAAGTTCAGGTACACCCTGCAATTTAGATATACTTGTGAACCCACTATAATTCACTCCAAAAATTGTGACGATTAAATAGCAATATTTGGCACCCCGTTGCTTTAAACAGTAAGTATGGATGGCAAGAGTGTACCGTTTAGTGATCACTACTGCATGTTTGACAAAAGAGAACAAATTTAATTAAATAAAATTTAATAAATTCAACACAACAGAGGAACTGCATTACTCTAAAGCAAGTTTTGTGACAAAACAAATTAGTATAATATGATTAATCTTGACTAGTAATGGCTCTTTATTTCACTTATTGTGAAGAATACAAAATTTGTAACATTTTATATTACATTATATATGTATATATTACATTATACATATATTTAATTAATTTTCAATACACTTTCTTTTCAGTGCTCCACCATATTCTATAATAAATAAATAAATAAATAAAAAAGTGACTCTTTCTGCACATTACAGCATTAGAATAAATTATTTTCTTTATGAATGAGTCACGGAACCACTGATTCGTTTAAAAACACTGATTCATCCAGGAATGAAGCTTCTATGAGAGTCCCTGAATCATTCACACAGGATTTGTTCAAAAACACTGATTCATTCGTGACCATATATATGTGCGAATGCCAGAATCATTCACGCAAATGATTAATCCCAAGAATGAAACAAGCATCCATCTATGAGAGTCACTGAATCTTGCATGCAAGCGATTCATTCAAAAACACTGATTCATTCAGGAACAAAACAAGCGACTGTTTATATGACTGAATCATAAAATTATTCACGCAAACGACTCGTTCAAAAGTGCAGATTCATTCAAGAACGAAACAAGCTACTTTTTATGAGAGTCGTTGAATCATTCCTGCAAACGATTCATTCAAAAACACTGGAACGAAAGAAGTTGCTGTCTATATGAATGAGTCACTGAATAGTTCACTCAAACGATTTGTTCAAAAACACAAATGTATTCAAGAATGAATCAAAAGACTGTCTATGTGAGTCATTGAATCATTCCTTCAGCCAGTTCGTTTAAAAATCGTTCACTGATTTGTTCTTTCAGTAACACCTACTGTGTCTAGCTTAGATGGTCAACAAGCTGTTTCTTTTCACTAGTTAATTTCAGTGATAATGTGGTGTGACAGATGGATTTTTAGAAGTATAAATATTGCGTCTCTAAATTAATATGAACTCAAAGCAAAACTGAATGCATATAGAAGAACGGAAATGTTTTAATTCTGCTGTGGCTTCGTTTGGAACTATTATGGAACTATAGAGGAATTGAATTGGAATAGAAAAGGTATTCTCATTTCAGTTTCGAATAGAACGGAACTCTGTTTCAGAATTCTGTATTAATCTGCAGTGTGAAGGTGGTCAGCTGAGACTCTGGATTGATTCATACGGAGAGATTCAGAGACTCGCCTGTCATGCTGCGTCAGAGTGTGTAGAAGTTCTCCATGATTCTGTTCACACACACACACACACACAAAGAGTTTCATCATGTGTTTGGAGCATTAGGCTGCAGGTGACAGAGCATCTTAACCACATACTCTGATTAATCAGTTATTAAACATACAGGCGGACAGCCAGAGAGAGGGACATCAGACAGCTTTATGATGTGTTTTATAAACCTGTCTGCACATACACTACCATTCAAAAGTTTGGGATCAGAACGATTTTTTATGTTTTTTAAAGGACCTTCTTAAGCTCATCAAGGCTGCATTTATTTGATCAAAAAAAAAACAGCAATCTTGCAAAATGTTATTACAATATAAAATAATGGTTTCTATTTTAATATCCTTTAAAATATAATTTATTTCTGTGATGCAAAGCTGAATTTCCATCAGCCATTACTCCAGTATAAAGTGTCACGTGATCCTTCAGAAATCATTCTAATATGCTGATTTATTATTAGAATTATCAATGTTGGTGATAAAAAATTAATTTTTTTTGGAAACTGCAATACTTTTTCAGAATTCTTTGATGAATAAAAAGTTCAAAAGAACAGCATAAAAACCGTTCTGATCCCAAACTTTTGAACGGTAATGTCATCTATAAAGACATCAGTCACCCCATACAGTTGATACTGAATGATTTAAATACAAATCTTAATTGCATTTTTGCAAAGCATAAATGTTGGATCTCTAAATCACATGTTTTTGAATAATTAATCATAAATAATCTTCCATTAATCATAACTCTTCCATTAATCAAACTCTGGTTTCTTTCCCAAACCTTTGCTGCGAAATTATGCACATATATCAAGGCTTTGGTGGTTAATGAATATGCATGATTGTTCATTTAAAATGCTCTATACCCAGGGTTAATAAAGGAAGTCCATTAATAGATTAATAGATGCATTTTGTGGTTTGTAAACCATATTTTTGATGCAATAACCCCAAAAAAATCTAAATAAAGGCGTCAATCACTCACCGCATCATATTCGGTCACTGTTTTATCAACAGACCTGCAAATAGAGCAAAATAAAATCCATATTTATATCTTGTTGTGTTTTTTTTGTCACTAGCATCTGAGTCCAGACAGATTGTTGTTCTTTAATTAAAACTGATCAAATCCAGCAGGATATGGATTTTGTTTGAATGTACTGCTGTACTGTGTGAAATCAGAATCTGACACCACAGAGCCACCTGCTGGTCAAACTGCGTAAAATAAAATATGCAAAATAAAATATACTGTGTAAAAAAAAACATAAATATTTGATTAAAAAATCTTAAACTTAAAAAAATAGAAATTATAAATTAAATTAAAATAAGTTTATGTTCAATAACCTCAAAAAAATCTAAATAAAGGCGTCAATCACTCACCGCATCATATTCGGTCACTGTTTTATCGACAGACCTGCAAATAGAGCAAAATAAAATCCATATTTATATCTTGTTGTGTTTTTTTTGTCACTAGCATCTGAGTCCAGACAGATTGTTGTTCTTTAATTAAAACTGATCAAATCCAGCAGGATATGTATTTTGTTTGAATGTACTGCTGTACTGTGTGAAATCAGAATCTGACACCACAGAGCCACCTGCTGGTCAAACTGCGTAAAATAAAATATGCAAAATAAAATATACTGTGTAAAAAAAAACATAAATATTTGATTAAAAAATCTTAAACTTAAAAAAATAGAAATTATAAATTAAATTAAAATAAGTTTATGTTGACGTACTAAATAAATAAAAATAAAGCTAAATAGAAATATATAAATTAAAAAACAAATAAAAATGACAAAAGCATTCATTATTCATTCTATTCCGTAAAGTAAGCCAGTAAGCTAGTAGCAGCAATGATGTGACGAGTGGGCGGGGCTTACCCAGAGACCAGCAGCTGTCCATCAAATGAGAACGCACAGCAGAGGACAGGAGCAGACTGAGCAGAGAGAGTATAGAGCAGCGACATCTCATAACCTGTGCATAAACACACATACACTGAAGCATTGTGGGAAAACATATCTCTTCATGCTGAAGCAAATTAAATGCTGTTTAGTAAATCATAAGCTCTGTTCTAAAACCTAGTGAGCTGCCTAACTAGACAGCATTTTAAGTTATCATACACTCTAAAAAATGCTGGGTTGTTTCAACCCAACATTGGGTCAAATATGGACTAACCCAGCTGTTGGGTTAAATTTTTTAATTAAAGTTTTAACCCAAAAGTTGGGTTAGTCCATATTTGACCCAACGTTGGGTTGAAACAACCCAGCATTTTTTAGAGTGTAGGTGCAGTGCAAAGGCTGTGCTTTTCTTCAAGGCAGCATTTTCTTTCATGTAATAGTCAATCCTATAATGCATTGTGACAAAATAGATCCAGTGTGCAAAAAAACAAAGTGAGAAAAATGTTGATTACAAGTCATGCAATTCCAGTTGAAAATACATTAAATTAATTAAAAACAATTTCAAAGTGGAGTATTTTAACAACTTTTTAATATTTTAAAACAATTAAAACATGTAAATACAATGCAGAAGATGTGTGTTTATTATATATAAAAATAGCTATAATAAATTTTGACATAAGTAAAAGATTTATTTATTTTTATTATATTGATTTATTATTATTTTAATATTTATATCTTTGTATTTTTTGTTATTGTTATGCTGTAGTGCATAGAGTATACAAATTTAAATTGCTAAACTCTAACACTAAACACTTGTTGTAATAATAAATATTTTCAGTTCTGGGCTGGCACCTATTTTAAAGTTTATTATTAATTATTGTTTTTTTTTTAAGCTTTATTATTAGTTTTTATTAATGTTTTTATTTCATTTAGGTAAAGTTTTAGTCATTTTGTTGTGTGTTTTTGTCATTTTTATAAACTTATTTTTATATTAAATATATTTATATACTGTTTTATTTGAGTTTCAGTTTGAATTATTTTAGTACATCTAGTAAACACTGAGACCACAGGTGCTATATATGTTGCCATGGACACATACACTTGGTTAAACCATTTACTTGAGTTCAGAATTCACTTTAGATCAACTAAATGAAATCAATCACCCAGACTGAGACAGGCAATACAAATAACTCTAAAACACAAGCCAGCTGAAATCACTGATAACTTCAGTCAGAAAATGAACATCATGCATATTCTGCCTCCACACACACACACACACACACACACACACAGACCAATTTCCTCCGAGACAGTGAGACACAATATCCCAGCAACCCGTGATTGACTGCTGCTTATCTGCATGTGTGCGTAAAACAAAAGTGTGCATGAAGATTCCCAGCAGGCAGTGGACGCTCATGGCAGTCAGATGCGACCGTTGCCACAGCGACAGACAGACAAAGCCCACACTGACGCCTGCTGCTGAGGATTATGAATTAAATAGTCTTGATTTACTAGCGGGTGTTCACAAAAACTATTAGAGCTAAAACAATCAATCATAATGATTTACTCACAGAGCTCAAATACTATCTATTCACATGAATTCTACTATACATTCACACCAAAATTAGATTGGCCTCAATCCAAACACTTAATCATGTTTTGAAAATGTCTTTTTTTTTTTTTATTAATAAAATAATGAATGTATTAAATATATTTTAGATATATTAAGTATTATTTATATATATATATATATATAATATGCACACATACACTCCATTAATGTTTCTTGTCTGGTCACATTCAATTATGAATTACACAAAAAGTTAATAGTCTATACACTGAAATAAATGTTTCATTCATCCAATTAAAAACATTCAGGGTAATGATTCACATCTATATTTTTTATAATATATATTTGCCCTAAGGGCAAGTTATTTATTTTCCATTGGCTCAAGTTAAAAAATATAGATGTGAATCATTACCCTAAATTTTTTTAATTGGATGAATGAATTTTTTTTTTCAGTGTATTCAAAATGTAGCAATTTGACAGAAAAAAGTTGGATATTAAAAATGGATATTACTGTGGGTCATATAACATTTCTATTATGAAACATTTGTCAAATATTAAATATTTAGCTATTTGCATCTTACCTCACACTCTTTTACCATTACAACCGAAGCGTCTGTTTGTAAACTGACCGGTGTAAAAACTGAATAATCGCTTAGTTTCGACAGGCAGTAAGATCTCTGGCATATTCGACTCATGTGCATGAAGTCGTATGCAGTCTAAATGGTAAAATGACATACCAAATTTGGAAACGATTCAGTCTGAACTGTGACTTTGACTATTTTTTACCCCTCTTTCCACAATGACAGGTACTATTTTCTATGGAAGCTAGTTTCCGCCACGGGATAAAAAAATAAATAAATGAATGAGTGAGGTGGGTCTGGAGGCGACTGCGGGTAGCGCGGGGTCAGTGACGGTCATGATATCAGAGGAGCAACGGAAATCATCAGAATGGAGCCTGCTGGTGAAACACGGCAGACACAGAGGGAATTATGTGGATGGCCAAACTCCTCTGATGAAACAGCGAGCTGGTAGAGCTAAACAAAGGACGTCTAAGCCTATAATTGGTACAGGGGCACGAGGGAATATAAGTGTGGTGCGAACGAAGCTGTTAAGTGTGTTTGCTACCAAATTCTCTCCAGATCTTAATGATGAAACCATGTCCAACTATCTTAAAGAAAAGCTTGGGCGTGATGTGAATTGCCAACGCATTGACACTACGTACGGACAATAGATACAGTTCATTTAAAGTGAGTGCTGAGTGCAATACTGTGGCGGAGATGTACAGTCCAGAGCTATGAGCCATGCAAAGTTAGAGCATTGGGGGTCAACACAGCTGCGTGATAATGTCAAAATTGTGATATCTTGTGTTTGCAAGAATTTTTTTTTAAATCTAAACAGGACTTGGGGAAATTGAACTCTTTTAATGACAATTTTCACGGGCTGGCACATCCACAACTGATCTTACTATGGGTATAGTGAGAGGAAAGATATCAGGAGGAGTGGCTACCCTGTGGCATAAAAAGTTGGACTCTGTGATAAATATTATTAAGGTTGAAGCTGACTGGTGTTTCGCAGTACGGATAAGTTGTTCTAATAAAGAGTTAATTATCCTTAATGTTTATACACCATATGAATGTCAACCAAATGAGGACGATTATTTAAATAGACTTGCTTTTATTAGCTCTTTTATTAATGAAAATAATTGTGCAAGTGTTTTTGTGGTTGGGGATATGAATGCAGATCTTACTGATAAATCTTCAATGTTTGCTAAGCATATGCTGCATTTTAGTGAGGATAACAATCTTATGTTATCTAGTAAAGTGTTGTTACCAATGGATAGCTGTACTTATATAAGTGAAGCCTGGCACTGGACCTCGTGACTTGATCATTGTATTAGTACAGCTGAGGCTCATGCTACTATACAGTCAATGAAACTTCTATAAGGGGCATGTATATTTGATCATGTACCATTTTTAATGACTGTTGATTTTGAAAGTCTGCCTGAGATGAATTATGAGTGTAAAAGGGCTGGCTTGGTAAAATTAGATTGGTCTAAACTTACAGATGAAGGTGTTAAAACATATCACAGGAAAACAGATCCTCTGTTGAATGAGGTCAGTCTAGATCAGTCTATGAGGCTAGTAGACCTTATCTTACACGCCCTGACAAGAAATATAATAGTAAGCCAGGGTGAAAAAAGTACACTCTAAAAAAATGCTGGGTTAAAAAGGGACAAACCCAGCTATTGGGTTGTTTTGACCCAGCGGTTGGGTTCAAAACAACCCAATAGCTGGGTTTGTCCCTTTTTAACCAAGCATTTTTTAGAGTGTATGTGTCAGCATTTCATAATGAAGCAAAGGAAGCATTTAAGGCATGGGACATAGCTGGTAGGCCCAGACAAGGACTACTTCTGGACAAGAAAAAGTTAAGCAATGCTAAATATAAATATACAGTTTGTTATATCTGTAAACATGATCAAGTGATGAGAGTGGATTCAATGGTGGAAAATCTGCTTTGCAATAGTTTGAATGATTTCTGGAGGGATGCAAGATAATTAAATAGGAGCAATGTGACAATACCGTGCTCTATAGAGTGTGTTTCTGGAGCTGAGAATATAGCAGAGCTGTGGAGACAACATTATTCTGCTCTGTTTAATGAGTGAGCGTTAAACAAATGAGGTACATCAAGCAATAATTCAGCTCAAAGATAGGAAAATTGGTGGTTTAGATCAAATTAGAGCTGAACATTGAAAATTTGCGAGCCCTAGGCTTGCGGTTCTTCTCGCAATTTGCTTCACTGGTTTTATGATACATGGGCTGTTGCCCATCAATGTTGTCAGTTACCTTGTTACCTGTTATTAAGGATAAGGCTGGCAAGGCAGGTAGTTTGGATAACTATAGGCCAATTGCATTAGCTAGTGTTGTATCAAAGGTCCTGGAAAGAATCCTATTAGATCGATTAGGTGTTTATCTTGATACTTCAGACAATCAGTTTGGCTTTAAGGCTCAGCATAGTACTGATTTGTGTATACATGCTCTGAAAGAAGTAGTAGAACTAAGACAAAATTCCACTGTTATAACTAGCTTTATTGATGCTTCTAAGGCTTTTGATTGAGTTAATCATCAAAAGTTGTTCAGTAAACCAAGATAAAGGGGTGTACCGAACAGTATGTTAAGAATTTTGACATATTTGTACGCTAATCAAAGTGTGCAGATAAAGTGGGGTAATTGTGTGTCAGGTCCATTTAGAGTAGGTAAGGGTAAGTAACTTTCACCAGCCCTTTTTAATGTCTATATGAATGAATTATCTGAAGAATTAAGACTGGATGTATGCTTGGTAATACTATAGTCAATCATTATATGTATGCTGATGATCTAGTTGCTTTTTCCCTGAGTAGTGTTGGTTTTCAACAGCTGCTAAATATTTGTTCTGATTATGGGATTAGATATGATGTGCAATATTATACAAAAAAGATTGTTGCCATGAC